CAAAACCAAAAAAAAAAAAAAAAAAGGACAGGGACTCAGGTAGCCCAGGCTAGCCTTGAATTCAGTGTGTAGCTGAGAATAACCCTGAACTCCTGATCCCTCTGCCTCAGCTTCCTAAGTGCTTGGATCCCAGGCGTGCACCCCCACGCCCGTCCTGTCCCTCCATCTTTAGCTCAGCCGTGTGTCCTCTCTTCTCTCTCAGTATCCTGTGGAGATCAGGAAGTATGAGTATGACCCAAACTTCGCCATCCGTGGACTCCATTACGACGTCCAGCGGGTGAGTGTGAGCTCCTATTTTTCTGTAGTTTCTTGGTGTTTGGAAATACAGTGCTGATTCATGCAACTGCTGGTGCTTTCCCTGGTGAATGGTTGGGAGTGAAGGGGAGCCAGTTGAAGAGGGGCATTAGGAAGGCGTGCGTCCCAGGCCTGTTTGGGAGTGCCAGTTAATGCTGGTCGTCATGCTGGTAGGACAGGAGCCAGCTGCCACACTTTCCTTCCTTTTTCTTTTGCTCATATGCCATGTCCTTAAAAGGCACCTCACTTAATAAGCAAGGCTTTTTCGGAAACTGTGCATGAAGTGGTTCTCAACCTGTGGGCCGTGACCCCTTTGGGGGTTGAACAACCCTTTCACAGAGGTCGCCTAAGACCATGGGAAAACACAGATATTTATATTACAGTTCATAACAGTGGCAAAATTACAGTTATGAAGTAGCAATGAAAATAATTTTATGGTTGGGGGTCACCACAACATGAGGAACTGTGTTAATAGGATTTTTATAACAACCCTTGCATTGTTCACATGTATGCACGTTTATGTTTTTAAAGGCAATATTGATGAAGATCGATGCTTTTCATTACATCCAGATGGGAACCGTCTACAGGTAAGAGAAAGTGTCGTCTTGCTCACAGGTGGAACCCAGAGGCGTCGCCTTTCAGGCCCAGCTAACTGACCAAGGATGAGGGAAGTGGCCGGGTGTGGATCACTGTTCCTTCGCTCACTCACGCTGAGTCCCGCTGGCGCTGAGGGTTTGGCTGTGGGGATGGATGCCTTCAGGAGCTCGGGTGGGCGAGAGGCCACACAGGTGTGCACCTACCGCCCAGAGTGGCAGGTGGTGGAGGGCATGCGTGCCCTCAGGTCATGGGGAGCCACCGGGAGGAGGCTGAGGGGCGGGGCTGCCGGGGTGAGGGAGCAGCTCATTCTCTCTGTGAGGATCAGAGAGTCCGTTATTGACCCTTTTTCTTCTTTATTAGAACGCACAGAAGTACTTTGTTTCGGGAGAAGTCCCTGACTTGAAATGCAGGGTTTTGGCTGTTGACATTTTCTGTTGGGGAGGGGTTCAGGGTCTCAGTTTGTTCTTATGCGTTAAGAGACATGTGTGCGTGCTATAGTTTAGATTGTTGTCTCCTAAACTCTGCGGTCATTTTCTTTCTCTCAGAGTAAGACAGGTCTGCAGGGAGACTCGGACAACAGTCAAGGTGCAGGCCCAGCAGCCCTGTACCCCCTCCACACCCCCACTCTGTGGGCTCTTCAGAATTTTGTTGTTTTTCGGTCTGCGTATGTATACAGGCATGCACACATAATCCCTAGACAGTGTGGTCCTCCTTCTTGATTTGTTAGATATGGACATCGCCCCCGTCCGCTCCAGTCATGGTCTTCTGCCCTCTTGAGACTTCAGCTGGTGGTTACAGTAGTCGTCCTTGTGCAGACTCTGTGAGTCCCGCCCTGTGGACTCATAAGCAGAGACGTGCACCCCGGTTTCCTTCCGTGGACAGTGTCTGCTTTCTCCCTTGAACTTAATAACTTCATTCTTATTTGCTTCTTTTTCTGCCCAGGTGTCTCTGTTTTTTCAAAATGTCACGTGTCAAACATGATTATTTGCCAGTAACTTCAATATGTTTTGTCTTTTTTAAAAAATGGACTCTCTTGTTGTGGCCCAGTGTGGCTGCTTGTTTCAGGATAGGCTTGGTCAGGGGACAGCTTTGTGCAGCTGGTTCCAGGGATCAGACCCAGATTAACTGTCACGGAAGTCAGGGTCACCAGTGTGCTGAAAGTCCTCACCAGATCTTTTCTTTTGTCCCTGCATCTCTATCCCCTTCCTGGCCTCACGGACATGTGCCCCTTCTCTCCTGGACATCACTATCCGCAGTCCCCCCCCAGACCCTGATGGCTGCCTACTGTTTGTAGAAGGAAGTTGAAATCTTAGGCACAGGGCTGGGTTTTAGGTTTTTGTTCAGCCCACTTTCAGCCCTCGGCTGCTTCTACACAGGTTTTTAACTGACTGGATTTGTTAAGACTCTTAGATGCAAGTGACTGAACACTAACACAAATGCATTGCTCTGTTCTCAAGCTGCACTAGCTGGCATCCCCCAGCTGCAGGTCTGCAGAGAATAGGAGCTTCCTGTCATCCACAGCCCTGAGGTCCCGTGATGGGAGTGGGTGAGCTGGGTGAGAGCAGATGCAGGTCAACTTGGCCCGTCTCATGCTCCTCTCTCGCATCCTTGATTCTGGGATCCCCCCCATTCCTGCTCCCACCCATGGCCACTGTAGTCTGTCCGGTTTCTCCCTCCCAGCCTGAAGTGGCCCTGCTCTTTCCTCGCTCCATTCCAGGTCCTTCCCGTCGGGTCCTCAGCCCCACCCACCCTCTCCTGCTGTCCATTTTATTTATGTGTAAATGTCCATTGTCTAAGGGCGGGGCTGGGACTCGGCAGGAGGAGCCGGATGGGGTGTTTAAGGAGAAAGGACAGTCAGGTGTGAGTCCTCGCAAACTCTGTCACCAGAGCAGAGTCAGTTTCCAGTGCAGTGTTGTGTGCCGGTCTGGGGGTGTCTGGTGAACCCCAGCCCTGCTGGTGAATCCCAGCCCTGCTGCCTCCACATCATGGGTCTCAGCAAGTTCTTGGTGCTCTGGAAGCCTTGGTTTCTCTGTACAACGGGCAGCTCCCGAGTCTGCTCTGTGCTGCGGCTGTGACGTGGAGGTGCGTTTGGCATGCGGCAGGACAGGCAGGCGAAAGTGCCGTTGCCTCCTGGAACCAGGTGAGAAGGAATGGTGGGGAGAACGCAGCAGGTCCCAGAGCTGCCGCAGGTGACACCCTTGGGCTTGGGTTTCAGCCACAGCAGAGGCTTCTGAAGGGCAAGGCCAGGCCTGGGGCGTGTGTGTGTGTGTGTGTGTGTGTGTGTGTGTGTGTGTGTGTGTGTGTCTCCTGTGTGTGTGCCTGTCTTTGTATGTGTGTGTTTGTGTGTCTCTGTGTGTGTGTCTATGTGTGTATGTGTGTGTATGGTGTGTATGTGTGTGTGTGTGTGTGTGTGTGTGTTTGTGTGTCTCTCCTGTGTGTGTGCCTGTGTGTTTCTCTGTGTGTCTGTGTGTCTGTGTCTGTGTGTCTGTGTGTATATGTGTGACCGATCCTCACCTCATCACAGCCCCTCATGATTTTGCTTGCTTTCTCTCCATGTATGGTTCTGTAGATGGCTGCTTTGCTAGAGCTGTTCTCCAAGGTCAGTCTAGAATGATCTGGTGTGTTACAAGGCCTTATCTGATTGCTGGAGCACAGTGGTGTTTTTTGTTCTCAAAGGCCAGGAATTGGAACCGGTTAGTCAGGCAAAATGTCAGCGAATGCACGCGGTGCTTCTAACCCTAGTGTGGGGGTGGAGACTGGAAGACATCACAGGCCGAAGCACCAGCTACATTGTGTGTGCAGACGTCTCACTGTCAGGCAGCGTGGTACCTAATCAGCCTGCTGGGACTTCCACGGATTGGCTTGAACTTCTGTGGATTGGCTTGACCCTTTGGAGGGGGGGGGGCTTTTCTGGTTTCCTAATTGCTGGGTGTGTTTCTCAAATGCTCACCCCCCCCCAGAAGGGTAGAAGAGCAGCCCTCTGGGATGGACAACTCAGGTGAGCGTGTGGCAGCTGCTCACCTTTGCCCTGGGTGTGCAGGAACCGGATTAATTTGCACGTTCCAGCGGCCGGCAGACAGAGGTGTGCGCAGAAGGAAGCTGGTTCTCAGTGTCACATAGAACTCCTCTCACGGAGCTTCCTGCCGTAGGGCGTGACTTTTCCACCTCAGCACTCAATGTGGGGGACGGTAGCGAAGGAAAAGGAATGAGTTAGAAACAGAAACACTTTCTCTGCTCAAATGTGTGAAAATCTCCACCGGAAGCAAGTCCTTGGGAAGCCTTGCATCGCAGTGGGTTGAGAGCCTTGGAGAGCCTGGATTTAACCCTGACACGATGCTTTCTACCTTGCTAACTTTGAGGAAGGCACGTGACCGTTCCTGTGGGAGGAACAGTGACTCCTAGGACAGCTGACGAGTAGCTGGATGCCCAGGTGAAATCCTGCTCGGCACGTTGGAGATGTCATGTAGGATTAGATGTTGTTGTAAATCTGGTTCTTGTAACCGACAGGGGCCTCGCAGAACTTCCTGCCCGCTGGCTGGAGCTGCCGCTCTGTCGTTCTTGGCCTCCAACAGGTCTCCTGCCGGAGTGGAACAACTCCATCCTAGAGAGAAGTCAGAAGTCACCCTCTCTCGCTGAGCACTGTGACAACACCGTCTGTATTTTTTTCAGAGGCCTCAGCGTTGTCCCCGATGAAGAAGTCATCGACATGTACGAGGGGTCCCACGTGCCCTTGGAGCAGATGAGTGACTTTTATGGAAAGGTAAGGCGGACCGCTGGGTCATCAGAGGCGGCTGCCTTTCTCCTTTGATTGGCAGTTTTAGCGGCTGGGAAAACATCTTAGGACTTAGCTTGGCGTCCGGTTTCAGAGGTCATGGCTGTGATGCTGCTGGGTCTATGGTGAGGCAGAGCATCATTTAGAAGGGTGGGGTAGGGGATGGGGGAAGCAGAGAGAGGGAGAAAGGTAAGGGTTTGGGGCCTGAGATACATCCGCTTCCTACAGCCGGGCCCTGCTTCTTAATAGTCAGCCAGCTGAGTTAGTCAAGAGATTAACCTACTGATGAAGCGATCTAATGGCTGGTAAGAGCCAAGCCTTGAGCACATGCTTTTGGGGGCGGGGGCACTTGTAGCTAAAGAGACTTAACTATTGGGCTCACCTACCGTGTGTGTGATTGATGGGACCCGAGATGGGGTCTGGAGAGAGTGTAGATCAGAGAGGAGTCACTGTTGGCTCTTGGTGATTTTCTCCCTGTCTGACGGAGGCCCTGTCCATCTTCTCAGTCACCCCATTTGTCACCACAGCCCTGCAGGTGTGGCCCCACCTCTTGGTCTAAGTCCCTCGGGGTTGCAGAGGAGCGGTTGTCCCGAGACGGGTGGAAGCACTCTGAGACTGAGGTCTGCTCAGCTGCCTTTGCTGGGCAGGACCCCATCTTTTCTCACCTCTGTGGCCTCCGGAGAGGGAGTGGGGAGTGATGTTAGCATGGGAAGGTGGGAGGGGAGGGAAGGGAGAGCAGCAGGGGAGGAAGTAGCTGGAGGGAGTCCAGCTCTCAGGCACGCATCGCTCCTGCTGAGGCCCAGGAACAAGGGAGCACGTTACTTTCTCACCGTGGAAGGTCCCTGTGTGCACGGGGAGCCACGTGTGGATTCCCGGAGCCCCCTGGCTTCCCGGCAGCCTCTTGCTGCTGCTTGTCACCTTGTGAGATGGGGTCTGTATTGCTAAGCCTGCCTTCCGTCCGCAGAGTTCTCACGGGAACACCATGAAACAGTTCATGGACATCTTCTCCCTGCCCGAGATGACCCTGCTGTCCTGTGTGAATGAGCACTTCCTAAAGAACAACATTGACTATGAGCCGGTACACCTGTACAAAGATGTCAAGGTGAGGGCAGAGGCCAGGGCGAGTTCAGGCTGTGCCTCCGTGGCTTCCCAGCTGTGTCCGGGTGGGGGGTCAAGTAGTCGTCTCTGGGGTCCCCGGTCTCTGACTGACTGTGGAAGTCATAGGGGACACTGCTCTCTCAGAATAACCAGGGCAGCGTGCTCTATCACAGATGGTGCCCGCTGTGGCCTGGACTTCTAATCCTGTGACGGTCCTGCGTGCTGTCTTACCCTGAGCCTGCCCAGGAGGAGGTTATCTCCTCTTCACACAGGAGAAGCCACTGTCCATGCCCTATGCATCCAGCAGTGAGAGGGAGCCCTTCTTAAATACTTACTTTTCAAATGCCAGATCGTTATTGCACTCGTTTATGGGGTACAGTGTGCTTTGGTGTACACTATGCCCCATGAAGATGCCCAGGGGTGAGGGTGGGGGTAGGGAGAGATTGGTTAATAGGGCATCTGTTCCTCATATCCATCTATTCCTCATATCCATGCCTCACTGAGGCCTGCAGAAGCCACGTCAGAATCCCGCTGGAGAGCTACAGACAACAAATGCAAACACTTAGATGCATATGTATACGTTTTATGTTTGTGTATTTTAGTTTGTGTTCATAGTCACATATTTATGTATAATATATCTATCTTGTGTTTTTATGGACACATTCATTCATTCATTCATTCATGGAGACAGGATCTCACTATATAACCCTGGCTGGTGTGGAACTTGCTATGTAGGCCATGCTGATCTTGAGCCCTCAGAGATCTGCTTGCCTCTGCATGCTGACTGCTGGGATTATAGGCTTGTACCACTATTTTCTTTTAATGGAAAATTTTTTTCATATAATATATTCTGATCATGGTTTCCCACTCCCCAGCTCCCCCCAGCTCCTCCCTCCTCTCCCCAACTCCCCCCAGCTCCTCTTTTTCTGGCTCTCTTTAGAGACAACCAGTAACAACAACAACAACAATAAAACAGAATAAAAAATAAAAACAAAGAAAAAATACAAGAAACACATGCACAAAGCTGAAATCCATATAAACACAAGACCAGAAACCATAATTTACAAGCAAAAAAACCAGTAAGACAAAAAAAAAAAAAAAAAAAAAGTGCCCAAACAAAGCAATGTGAGACAAGAAGTCTACAACAATACCATTCAGTTCATTTTGTGTCGGTCATCTCTGCTGGGCATGGGGCCTGTCCTTAAGTGTGGATTATACACCCAGTGAGACTCCATTGAAGAAAATAATTAACATTCTTATATTTTTAAAGATCTATGTTTCTATACCAAAATACTATGCTCAGGGCCAGGGCCAGTACAGGGTCTCTCTATGTAGCCCTGGCTGGAATTTGTTATGTTGATCAGGCTGGCTTCGAACTCAGAGACCTGTTTAGTGTTTGCCTCCCTTAGTGCCAGGATTAAAGGCATATACTATCATGCCTAGCTTTAAAAATAAATAAATAGGGGCTGGAGAGATGGCTCAGAGGTTAAGATCACTGCTTGTTCTTCCAAAGGTCCTGAGTTCAATTCCCAGCAACCACATGATGGCTCACAACCACCTGTAATGAGATCTGGTGTCCTCTTCTGGCCTGTGGGGATATGTGCAGACAGAACACTGTATACATTATAAATAAATCTTTAAAAAATAAATAAATAAATAAATAAATAATAAATTATACACACACACACACATACACACACACACACACACATATATTTTCTGTGTATGTGTGTTTCGTCTGCGTGTATGTCTGTGCCTGGTACCCTAGTCTGTTGTGAGCCACGACATGGGTATTAGGAATTAAACCCAGGCCCCCTGGGGGAGCAACCAGTGCTCTTAAATCAATGAGCCATCTTTCTAGTTACCACATCTAAAGTAAAATTTTGATTGTCTTGATTTCTGAGTTTTAGAGTTGAAGGATGCATTGTAGTTTCTCAGTATCACTTTGGTAAGAATCGGGCTGTTTAAATGTTTAGTTTTTAGTTCTCCTTTTGTGCATTCTGACATGCTATATTTAAGACTCATTTGTAAAAGAGGAGAAATGTTCATGTGAAGGTTGACTGTAGATGTAATTCTAAATGGTCTTATTAAATAAAAAACACAGAGCCTAATAAAGAGTTAAAAACCCCAGAGATCGAGCAGTAGCCAAGAGCTAAGACCACCTTATCTTTTGTTTGTTTATTTGTTTTTTGGGACAGAGTTTCTTTGTGTAGCTTTGTGCCTTTCCTGCACAAACTCGCTTTGTAGACCAGGCTGGCTTCGAACTCACAGAGATCTACCTGCCTCTGCCTCCCAAGTGCTGGGATTAAAGGTGTGCGCCACCACCGTCCGGCTGAGACCACCTTATCTTACCACCCGCTGCCATCCTTCACCTGAGAGATAGATAGATAGATAGATAGATAGATAGATAGATAGATAGATAGATAGATAGATACCTTCTTCCTGTGTCCTGTCTTTTTATTGACTTTCTGTTCTGCCTTCTCATTGGTTCTAAACCCAACCACATGACTTCCTCGTCATTGCCTGTCTGTACAGACCTCCAGGTCTCTATGGTTCATACTGAGATTAAAGGTTCGGATCACCACTAGCTGTGTCCTTGAACACACAGAGACTCTGCCTGTCATGTGATTGGGATGAATGTGCCACCACCATCAGGACTTCTGCTAAATGGCTTGCTCTCAGCTCTGATCCCCAGGCAACTTTATTTATTAACATACAAATAAAATCACATTTCAGCACAAATAAAATATCACCATAGTTGACTTTCACCACCAACAGAGCACTTGTGTAGAGTTAATAACATTCTAGGCTCTGCTTTGAGTGTTCCGTATTAGCTCATCAAATCTCTGCGTTGGTGCCTGGAGGCAAGTACTACTGTTATCATCACTCCACTGAAAGACAGTGAGGCACAGAGAGCTTGAGTGTAGCTAGAGTTTTCCTGCCTGGCCCACAGTCAGGACAAATCCCACAGCCGCTCAGACCCAACCAAGTAAACACAGACACTTATATTGCTTACAAACTGTATGGCCATGGCAGGCTTCTTGCTAACTGTTCTTATATCTTAAATTAACCCATTTCTATGAATCTATACCTTGCCACGTGGCTCGTGGCTTACCGGCATCTTCATATGCTGCTTGTCATGGTGGCGGCTGGCTGTGACTGACTCCCTCCGCCTTCCTGTTTTCTCTGTTCTCCTCTCTGTTAGTCCCGCCTATACTTCCTGCCTGGCCACTGGCCAATCAGTGTTTTATTTATTGACCAATCAGAGCAGTTTGACATTCAGACCATCCCACAGCACTTGAGTGTCTTGCCCAAGGCCACACAGCCAGTAGGTAGCAGAGCCTAGATTTTCAATCCAGGCAGGTTGGCTTGCCTTTAACCGTTGCCCTCTGTGTCCTGTGAAATTAGAACAGGCTCATGCTGAAGGTAATTGAGATTAAGATTCTAGTCCGGAGCGACCCACTCTGGTGGGCAGTGTAAGACGTACAGCCCTGTTCCTGGTACCAGAAAGCTCCCTTGGCCCTTCAAGAGTCTACAAGGGCCTGCTGTACAGTCTCCACCCCGCCAGCGGAACTCTGCAGCGCCAGCCAGCAGGGTCCTGCTGGCGCGGCCCTGAGCCTCCAGGGGACTTTCTGTCTTCCTCTCCTGCATTTGCCAGTTGGACCTGTTCCTGCTGGTGACGGTGACTTGGGCAGTTTTTTGCCCTGCTGGTGACATCCAGAGAGGAGATGTCTTTCTTGTCCCTCTGCCTCTGCCGCTGCCTCTTGCCTTACGGAACGGTTGGCATCCAGAGACGGGAAGGAAGGACACAAAGATGTGGACAGGGAGCCCCTTCCTGCAGACTGGCTGCTGCTGTCTGTGGTCACCATCCTGCATGTAAACTACTGTTTGTCATGGGGGACTTCGTTCAGAAATACTCAGACGACCTTTTTAAAACGAGGCCTTTGGAAATCGCACTGGCCACAGTCTCTGTCACCGTGGAAACGCAAGCTTTTCCTAAAGTGCCACCTGGGCTCAATGGGGCTAGTGTTGAGATGTGTGGCGCTTGGGTCAGCAGGCTCCTAGGACAGAAGTGAGCCCCGATGCTATTCACCGGGACTAACTCCAGCTCCCTTTTCACTGATGACAAATCTCCCTTTTGACAGGACTCCATAAGGGATGTCCACATCAAAGGAATAATGTACCGAGCAATTGAAGCGGATATTGGTACGTACCCAGCCGCATTGGCTCTACTGCTGTGTGGGCATTTAGACCTCACACCCCAGGGTCTGAGCAGGGCCCGCGGGTGTCTCCTGGGTTTTGTTTAAGGACCCTGATCCTGGCAGTGAAGGTGCCTCCTCCACGTTCTCCAAGTTCTAGAACTTGGTGTCTGTCAGCCTAATGCTAAGAGGTGCATCACACTGTCCTCCGTTATGGATGTGTGCATATCTGTGCTTTGTTGGCTGGGGGGGGGGGGCGGCGGGCGTTTCCCATACACTGGGCACTCATATGCGTCCCCTAACCAGTCTTCCTTGGACTTGAGTGTCCCCACTGTGCCTTATTTCATTCTGACCGTGAGAACTTTTCTCTCGTTCTTAGAGAAGTACATCTGTTATGCCGAGCAGACCCGCGCGGTGCTGGCTAAGCTGGCTGCCCACGGCAAGAAGATGTTCCTCATCACCAACAGCCCTAGCAGCTTCGTGTAAGTTCCATCCCCTCGCCCGCAGCTGGCTCATGGCTCAGATGCCATTCGCCTTAGCAGCTGGAAAGAAATGTAAAAAGTCTGTCCCTTTGATGTCAGCTGACCTGGCTGCCTTGTTCCAGAGACAAAGGGATGCGGTACATCGTGGGGAAGGACTGGAGGGACCTGTTCGATGTGGTCATAGTTCAGGCTGAGAAGCCGAACTTCTTCAATGATAAGCGGAGGTGAGGCCCGTCTGCTGGGGACTTGATTGTATTTTGTGAATTACAGAGAGCGCATGCCTTAGTGAAATCCAGTCACAAAATCATAGGCTTCCGGGACACAGCTTTGTAACAGTGGGATGGGCACATAGAGAGCATTCTCAGGTTGGAGTGTGTTGCTGTGGTCACGTGAGTCAGGCTTTAAGAAATTGATAGACTGTGATGGAAAACAAGGATTAATACCACAAAGCAAAGTAGGTCTGTGGCTCCAGATGCCTTGTGCAGTGTGAGAGGGCCCCACCGACGCCAGGCTGCCTGGTGGCATCTCTTGAAATAAAGCTAATTGGTGCATTTAAAATTGCAGCTGGATTTTGCAGACTTCTCTGCCATCCAGTACAAGTCTCAGCCATGTCTTATGCAATGTCCTCCTGCCTCCGGAGCTTTGGGAGGTGAAGAGGGAAAGTGGGGGTCAGTACAAGAGTGCTAAAAATGCCTTTTAACCTGGGGACAGACTAGGTGGCCCCCACTCCTAGAGACCCACACTGTTGAGGATTCTTACGATAGCGTTCTAAGAATAGCTCTGTTTGTCTAATGGCTTAGTTTGGGAAGGTTTTCTGGGACCTTCCTGGTCTGTAGCTGGTGACCGGCAGCCTTTCCTCTGTGGTAGTTCCAAGGATCCAACGGTGGTATCTGAAGTTAGTGCGACATGTGTACATTCCTTTGGGGATGCTAAGTCCCGGTGTCCTAGGAACACGCTGGCTCCTGGAAGAAGAGGCCAGCCCCCAAACCAAGCACAGAGAATGAGAATGCAGGCCAGCGTCTTGAGTGTGACCGGAAGCTCCACGCTCACCATGTTGCTTCTAGAGACCTCACATCGTTCTTACATTCCTGTGAAAGTGGGGCTCCCTTCATCCAGGCTTTTCTGACATGTTTGTCCACAGTGGAGGGAGGGGTCAGGGCCCCGGCTCTTCCTGGGAGGAGCTCTCAGCACAGCACCCCCCCTCCGTGGTTCTGGATGTCTGCAATAATAGTTGAGACATCCCCATTCTCCCTGTTATTTATAAAAACCCCGACAGTTGAGGCTGACTCGTTAATTCAGAATATCCCTGTGAGGAAATGTTAAACAGCCACTAAAGATGACGAATTTGGCGAGTCAAAGCAGCCAGCCTGTCTTACTGCTGATGTGCTTAGGAATATGACGTCACAGGGAGAGACTGCTGACAAGATTGGAAGAAAAGAGATATAAATAAAAGTGTACAAAGATCTTCATGTTCCTCAGGAAAGGGAAGTGGGTTTCCATACCTACGGGACTTTGTATTTTTGTGACTGGAGAAGCAATTACCCAAAAAGGCACCGTGAGTCCCAGGGCTGTGCCCTCGGGGTGAGGGATGGGGCCAGCTCCACTCCCAGGCCCGTCATAGCTAGTGCCCCTGCCCGCCACCTGGCATCTGACCCAGGGTGGCAGCAGTGTCCTGCAGGCTTCCCTCGAGAAGGAGAAGCTCTCTGCCCTGCCCGGTGTCCCAGGGAAACCCGACTAAAGGGCTTGTGCATGCCAAGGGTGGTTGACCCTAGGATTCTGTTTTTATTTATTTATTTATTTATTTATTTATTTATTTATTTATTTATTTATTTATTCTTCCTTATTCTTCATTACCTACTTGTGGGTCTGTGGTGGGGTCCGCACAGTGTGGAATGAAGTGCCCTGGGCCAGGGGATGCAATGAGGTTTGGGGTTCAAGAGCTACTTCACGTTCTCAGAGAGTCCCCGTCTGGTATTTTGTGGAGCGGACAGCCTTTACCATTACCACGTGTTCTAGTAATGTTCCCCTTTCTGTTGTTAGACCCTTCCGGAAGGTGAACGAGAAAGGTGTCTTACTCTGGGATAAAATCCACAAGCTTCAGAAAGGCCAGATCTACAAGCAGGTATCTGTGCTTCCTCATCCTTCCTGATGCTCTGGCTGCAGTCAGCACAGCAGGGCCGTGGGTACTGAGACTGTCCAGGCGCTTGGCACGGTCCGTCCTTGACGACTGAGTATAATTAGATGGTAAAACTCAGGCCAAAGTCAATGTCTTTGCAGTCTGCTGGTATTTATTTACAATAACTCAAAGTTGACTGTTTTTAAAAATAACATTTAAAGCATTACCCTCTATAAAATGTAAAGTGTCAGTAGTAAACCTTGGAGATTTCTCTTTGCGGAGCATTAATCTTGGTCTATTATTCATCCAACGTATTTCCTGCTGAGAGACATTTTTTTAAAAAAATTTTATTTTTTTTAATTATTTTTTTTTTTCATGTGCAGTTTTAAACATGCTGGCATCATCATATAAGGCTGTCAGGAGATTGGGCCATGTTGATCATTCTAACGTCACTGGAGTTCTTTTCTTTCTAGAACATTCTTGGTGGGTTTGTAATAGCCTGCTAGGTTTAACATTGAATGTGTTCTTTAGGCCTTGAAAAATTAGTTTGAATTCAGGCATTTTACTTCTGACAACTTAGAAGATTTAGATGTGGCTAATAAAACCCCCTGTAAGAATGTTTACAGAGTAGGTGAGGTTGTGAACCATCAGGGCATTGGCAGAAGGAATCAACTGTGGTAATTACAATAAAATTAAAAGTCATTTATATGGAATGATGGTCTCAGCAAGAGGCTTATGTAATCTGAAATGTTGTTGTTGGAGACAGTCTCACAGTGTAGCCCTAGCTAGCCTGGAATGTGTTGGCTAGTCTGGCTTCGAACTCACAGAGATCCCCCTAACTCTGCCTCCTGAGTGCTGGGATTAAAGTCATGCACCATCATACCTGACTATGAAATTTTTTTCAGAGTACATTCAGCATCCAAGAAAGGTCTAAAAGATTTTCCATGAGTGTGGTTTTAGCTTTGTATGTTGATGTTTAAAATAAGTCATAAGAGTTAAAAACAATTTTTGTAAGTTTTGGAGCATAGGTATTGTAGACTATGGGCTACTGGGTTTCCGATATGTAATGATCTATGTTCCTCTTTTATTGTAGGGCAATCTGTATGAGTTTTTGAAGCTCACTGGATGGAGAGGCTCCAAAGTGCTGTATTTTGGTGACCACATATACAGTGACCTGGCGGTGAGGAGCCTGCTTCCCTCAGTGGGGATGGCCGGGTTCTCTCACTCAGTAGGGGGTTCTCTTTCCTGTGACATCATCTTTATGCTTTCCTTAGAAACTAGGAGGGGGTCACAGTTTTGAATGGCTCACTTACACAAAA